TGACGCTGGTTTACAAAAGCTGCTCTGGCCTTCCCAATCCGGATTCGACAATATCTTGGTATAAATCATAAGAAGTCCCGAACTCTATGCAACATCAAATATCATATCACGATTGTTTTCAAAATTTTTTATCCAGACACCTTGCTTGCTTGATAAGTTAACAAACTGCACATATTCGACCTTAGTTTGTTCCGTTACTCGGGGTATCTGCGCTTGATCACACAGAAAGGTTCTTTTAATAGTCACCTTATTTGTTCGTGCTGCTCGAATAGAGGAACGCAGATAACTTAAAAAACGGGAAGGTGAACGGTAGCGTGGTATAGAACAACTGACTAATGGCACCTTTGCTCCGACGACACTACTCAAAGAAGCTAATCGTCTCTACTGGTGATTACTGAAAGAGTCGAGTAAAGTAAACAGTTAAGTATCGCTTCGCGTCCTGGCGCGATCATTCTACCCACCTGCGACTGAACGGCTTATTAGCGAATGGTTTGAATCAAGTGTGCTCCGAAACTGTGGCCGTCTGATTGCTATCCCGACTGGCTTCTGAGGCTTGGGTGTCGTCAACCCTGTTTCATAAGACTGTAACCACAACGTTTATTAATCAGCTTATTCTGTTGGCACGCCAGTCTGCTACTGATATTCCTCATTCTAAGGACGTTTTCGAGACTTTTTGGATTCAAGGTGGTTAGTCTAATTGTCCTAGCCAACACTATGGGCGCTCCAAGATGTTGGTAAACTAATTTACTTGATGTAGCCTCAGGTTTAAACACCATCAATTCGCTAATTTCGTGCCATTTGGGCTCAAGTAAAACATAAGGTTGATTGAAAATCGGGGACCGCGCCTACCTGATGAGTTCCAAAAAGAGCGAAATGGGTCGTGGGCTGTGGAGGAATTATCAGCAACCTTATGAGTAGTGCATTACCTCCATACATGTATCGTGATGTCTCGAGTATCGTGTCAATAGACATGATACGGTCCGCTGCAGCACATTCAGTTGGTTAGAAACATCATAAACGAGGGACTCAGGTGGGTGTCCTGCCTGGGTGTATCTCACCACCAATTCACCTTTAATGGGTCACGGGTACTTTGATGACCCGGTCAGTAGTTTGCTGCGGTCATATCCTGCTCCACGCCTTTCCAGGCGATTAGGTAGGCTCCTTAGCTATGCCAACCGCAGCTCGGTTATTCTGATAAACTAAGAACCGCGTACTTGTACAGTTGTGGTAGCTGCCACAGTTTCGTTCACCGATGAGTTTGGGAGTTGCAGCCGGTAGTTACACACTGGAGGCGGGAGCTGATAAATTGGTGCGTAAATACAGAACCGTCGAGTGGGAGAATAGTGAAAGGGGTTATGCATTGAAGGCAATAGCTTGGATGCACGAACGCCATTGAGGGTGCTAATGGGCCATGTCTGACAATGTTTCTAACCATTTATGTGGCCTGTCTCGGGGTCCACGTCCAGGAGGACGGCGGTGACCAGCGCAGTTGAGTTTGCTGGTAATGGCTTTCATGCTTTGCTGGCAAGTTATTATTTGACCGCCTGTGTCTCGTTTCCCCTTATGTGGTTGTGCGAAAAGAACCCTTCAGGGATTTCGGTCGACTGGCATATGTAGTACGTGGTCAAGCCAGCGCAACCTATACAGTTTGATCAGTTTATTTATCGAGGGCGAGTTATTTCTTCCGAATACCTTTCGACCTACTTGAGCATTACTGATCCGGTGTTTCTACCAGATTCGGGCAATGCTCCGAAGATATTGATGATCAAACAGTGAAAGTCTTGGTGTCGTCAGCGTGCGGCGGCCAGTTTTACGATCCGCCGCAGCAGTGTAAACTCTACCATTGGCGGTTGAGCTGATCTCATGCCTGTGTCACAGTTGACGCTGGTTTACAAAAGCTGCTCTGGCCTTCCCAATCCGGATTCGACAATATCTTGGTATAAATCATAAGAAGTCCCGAACTCTATGCAACATCAAATATCATATCACGATTGTTTTCAAAATTTTTTATCCAGACACCTTGCTTGCTTGATAAGTTAACAAACTGCACATATTCGACCTTAGTTTGTTCCGTTACTCGGGGTATCTGCGCTTGATCACACAGAAAGGTTCTTTTAATAGTCACCTTATTTGTTCGTGCTGCTCGAATAGAGGAACGCAGATAACTTAAAAAACGGGAAGGTGAACGGTAGCGTGGTATAGAACAACTGACTAATGGCACCTTTGCTCCGACGACACTACTCAAAGAAGCTAATCGTCTCTACTGGTGATTACTGAAAGAGTCGAGTAAAGTAAACAGTTAAGTATCGCTTCGCGTCCTGGCGCGATCATTCTACCCACCTGCGACTGAACGGCTTATTAGCGAATGGTTTGAATCAAGTGTGCTCCGAAACTGTGGCCGTCTGATTGCTATCCCGACTGGCTTCTGAGGCTTGGGTGTCGTCAACCCTGTTTCATAAGACTGTAACCACAACGTTTATTAATCAGCTTATTCTGTTGGCACGCCAGTCTGCTACTGATATTCCTCATTCTAAGGACGTTTTCGAGACTTTTTGGATTCAAGGTGGTTAGTCTAATTGTCCTAGCCAACACTATGGGCGCTCCAAGATGTTGGTAAACTAATTTACTTGATGTAGCCTCAGGTTTAAACACCATCAATTCGCTAATTTCGTGCCATTTGGGCTCAAGTAAAACATAAGGTTGATTGAAAATCGGGGACCGCGCCTACCTGATGAGTTCCAAAAAGAGCGAAATGGGTCGTAGGCTGTGGAGGAATTATCAGCAACCTTATGAGTAGTGCATTACCTCCATACATGTATCGTGATGTCTCGAGTATCGTGTCAATAGACATGATACGGTCCGCTGCAGCACATTCAGTTGGTTAGAAACATCATAAACGAGGGACTCAGGTGGGTGTCCTGCCTGGGTGTATCTCACCACCAATTCACCTTTAATGGGTCACGGGTACTTTGATGACCCGGTCAGTAGTTTGCTGCGGTCATATCCTGCTCCACGCCTTTCCAGGCGATTAGGTAGGCTCCTTAGCTATGCCAACCGCAGCTCGGTTATTCTGATAAACCAACAGGAAAGTGACCTGCTCACCAACTTTTCAGATCAGTTCCACCCAAACTCGAGTCTTGAGTGTACAGTTCGGTAGAACATACTTGTAAGAAGTGCAAGTCGCTTACCACATTTGCATTATGCCTGTTTTAGGTTCTTACCATTCAAGTGGTGCGGACTGTGAATACGCGTGACTGTTCGTATAGGCGTGCTCCCCCAACACTTGACTAGTTTATCAAAGTTTTGTATGGTGTTTTTTGCTTGTCGAGGAGACCTGACGACAATCAATCAAATAGCTCAAATGTCCATTGGACACCGGATTATTCGACAACCGCAAAAAGTGAAACCGAGTACCCACCTCAATTATTGATATATCGAGAAAGAACTGATATCCTGGCTGCTAGTAACAAATAGAAAGTACTTTCAAATGCAAACAGATAGCGCTTTCGGAAATTAGCCGCGTGACTCAGAGGCAGTTATCGCAACCCCCCCCCCATAAGCATTCATTCTGGTCAGGCCCTTAAGGTGATCTGTATTGGGAGCAGAAGTGTTTGTATCAATTTCGCATTCTTTCGAGGGTGGTTTCGTAAACTTTCAATCATGCGTCGGATTACTGATGGAGACCAACTGCGAGCAGCTTGAACAACTCTCATTTTTCATCGGAGATTAACGAGCCGGCTGCAGAGGATCGCTTTAGGTGTCTGTTTTGAGACCGCTACTTTCAAAACGGTGGTAAAACAATGGAACACCCTCCGTTTTTCGTCTAATTTTCTGTTATTGGCCTTACTCGTTTAACCAAGAACTCATGCAATCATTACATCAACGTCGTTATAAGCATGCCAGGTTTGCTTTCGTGATTTACTTAGGCCTTTATGTCATCTTGGCGCAAAAGGTACGATGTTTTGCACTTGGTGGAACAGATAGCTGGACAGAGGTTCGAAAATTGACGGACTTGAACCGCAACGTAATGAAAAAAGTTGAAGTAGTGCCACATGAGCGGGTCGTGCTTACATCGTGTGCAGTTATGAACTCATCACCAACTGTAAATCGTGCGTGTAGGTGCTGTGACGCCTCTGGCTGTCACAGATTCATTCACCAGTGTTTGAACGGTGCTAGAGCTTCACGTTGAACAGAACAGTCAGGAAACTCGATTGTGAGTCAGGTAGTGGAGGCATGCCCTTCCCCGTCTGAGGGTAATCATGCAGTAGATGGAATAGCGCAGCTCCATGGGTATCTTTGCGCATGACCAAAATACTTCTCGTTGTATCCAACCGTTAATGCGTTCCGCTTTTAAATTCCCGTCCGGACAGTCAGCGGGCTAACGACGCTTGTCATATCTTCCAGATCTCGCTGGGTGCGAATTTCCAGTCGGCCTTGTTCCCACAGTCGGAGTTGTGTAAGTGAACGGCTGCATTAAACGTGTCGTTGTGGATGGCGGTTTGCCAAAATAAGTGACTCCGCTGAACGCTGAGATGAATGATGTCCAACTGTCTGCCGGAGACACGTAACGGACCTTGATAAACTATAGAACTGGGCAAAATACCTTGTGCGGCCAAAACTACAGGATCCGAACACAGTTTCCTTGATGGTTTAACAAACTAGGGATGACTTTGAGGGTGTATGAGTCATTCAGTCGCCTTACGTTGAACATAGCTCAAGAAGAGACTTCTAAGATCCTTGGTTCTCTGCTCGTGGAATGCGAACGAAAATGTCTGCCTTTATCGGTTAGATAACAAGCACCTACAGCGCTACAATCGGGCTTTTGCAACGTGTCTTGCGAGAAGAAGGGAAAGTTGAAAGATGCTGTCGCTGGTTGGAGATCACTAGAAAAGCATTCTTGCCTGCATATTCTTTCGTTGACCAAATGACCTATTACTAGATGTTAAGAGGGATAAAAAAAACCTCAAGATGTCTTTTTCTGGTTGTTTATGCCTTCTAGATTGTAATCTCGAGTATGATTCGTATATGATGTTCGTTCCCAATGGATGAGCCGTTTGAAGAACTCTGCTCCGTTGAGGCGGAACCCAGTCGAGAACCGAAGCGTGCAATGTGTAAAAATTGTCTGTAAGTTCCCTCTTTCGATAGTTAATGGTGACGGTTTGGGGGTGACTAATAAATAAACAACCCGGTTATTTGCCTATTTTTTTTAAATAGGAGACCACTGTCTTCCGCCTGTTGGTGCCCCTGGCTACCTCAATCCCGTTTACCGATCCAGACAAATATCTTGATTCTTCAGCACCCTTATGAGGTATGTTTTCCATTATTGCTACATACATTGTCTGGTGGCACAAGCTGTCAATTTTTACTTGCGACGTTTGCTGTTATCTGTTCGGTGCCGTTCTAAACTCGGTACTGGATGTTCGAATAACCTTGATTACTATTAGTCCATTATCCGATCGGCTGTGTAGTGGCTCGCTTAGTTGTTCCCTCAATGTACTACGATCGCTTTGACTAGCTAGATGGCTAAAACAAATCAGCCTTGCTCACTGAGGAAGCGTGGCTTGCGTTTATCGTCGGTTGTACTTCGGGAATCATTGAATGGCTTGCGCTCAATGATGATTCTCACAGGAACATCTGAAAGTCTGTGGCCGCTTTCTGTGATGGTCATGTTCGCTCAAGAAAGGTCGCCCACAGACAATGTCAACTAATCTCTGACCTCATCTATCAGAGAACTTCGTTCAGTGTGATTGGTATGAATGTTTGCTGCTTGTAAGTTAGTATTATAAGGTGCATAGTATAAGTTTTGTTTCACTTGATCACGTGCTTTGGAGTTTATTGATGAGACTCATTGTTCAATGATGAGGTTTTCGAATTTCACGTGACCTGTGACCGTTTTTTGTTGATCTACCCTGGTTTGTCACAAATATGTTTTAGTTCTCGCAAGCACCTAATTCTACGCCGAGCTTGATTGTCGGTACTGCTTGACCTGTAATAAAAGAACTAACTGAATTCTTAATGTTCGACTGAATGTTCCTTGCGTTGTTGCAAACCTCTCAATGGGTTTCATGATGGTTTGTTTGCGTGAGAGGAAGATGAGCTTTCCGGATATTCACTATGGATGACTCAGTTTCCGGGGCCAACCTATCATTCCTGGCTTTCTTTGAGACATTACACAGGCTGGTAACAACCTTAAGGAAACTGGGAGAATGAGTGGTACGTTGCCAGATACTAGCACCTGAAGACTCACGGGCTTCCGCTGCACTTGATGCACTTGAGCGACGAGAAACGGTTGCTTCATTGTAGCATTCAAAATACCTACTGACTGGCGAGAAAGGCTTGAAAGTGCTCCGATTTTCTGGTTACTGATTGGCTGTTCTGTGAAGTGAACCTCGTCAGACAGAGGTTTGTTTTACGCGGTTAGAAATGTCCGGGTATCTTCTGTCAGACGATAACAAAAGAAATTCTTACATCCCTCCAAGTGGATAGCATTTTGGCTTTTTAAAATACATTTTTAATTCCCTGTATTAGTCCTTGGTGCTGATGCAACAGCTTCTTTGCTTCTTCATGATCGATTTCACTAATTGCGGCGGAAAAACTTGCTATGTTAGCTGCTCGGGGACAATTTTGAAAACTATTGAATTGAGCGTTGGATAGTCGGCTTCACTGACAGAAAATGAGGTTTCCTTTTTGGCAGTGCCGACAACGAGCGTTATTTGGGACTCTTCAGGGCAGGTGGACGCTCTTCTGACGCTTCTCTGCGAAGTTTAGTGTAATGTTTCGATCAAATATATCTTCGTGCACTCTAGAAAGAATTGACTGACAAACGGCCTTCACCATAGAATTAGTGCCCATAATTTATTTTTGTGATAACGGAAGTTTTTTTGACGGAGCTCGGAATTGCTATTTGTATTTTTCCAGCAGTTTTCAGCAAAATCAGCATACGTTTGAAGGAATCCTGAATTTCTCGCTCATGACCAGTCACTTTGTCACTCAAACATGGTTTGTCGTCAGTAGCTCGCGTCTGTGGGCTCATCGAACCGCTTTGTTTTTACTATGCGTCCTTGCACGTTTGTTTCAAACGCATTTACCCACAGAATTTCTGCGGACTAATGTGCGTTGGAAAATCCGCATGTCCATTGTAGGCAAACTAGTGTTTTTTGGCAAACTGCAGTTTGTGCTACGTCGTTTGATGGAAGCTACGATTGCTTCACACAGAAGCAGGAATAAGACAACCGACCGAAATGCTTCGTGCTTCTGTTCTATGAATGGCTGGTACCGGTCAGCAGTGGTCAAACCACCGGACGACTACACACAGCAGAAGAGCCAGAGACGGTTTTCGCTGAACCGAATATGGTGTGCACGCAAGCATGTGGCGCCGACATAGTTAGGTCGGCGGGAGAACATGTGGAGCCCATCAGCCACTCTAATGATGATGGCAAAACAATCCTTGCCAGCGCTTCTTTACCATCGGGGCACCGGTATCATCCAGCACGCTGCCGCACCTCATCCACCTGCCACCTTATCCGTACATGAATTACTGGGATGACTGTGCTAGACAGGTATTCCTCAAAAGAATACACGTCCTGGTCATATTTCCCTGGGGTCAATAGGACCCTCTTCACCGGTCATTGCACAGTTAGTTTCCTATCCTTGATACTGCATCTGTTTCTCTCCGTAAACGTGAGTGTATAAGCGACATTATGTCAACGCTTCGCGCGACTGTCGTTGTCGAAACAGACAGGGTGTCTATTATCACCTACTTTCAAGTAGTCCACTGGGATCAGTCTGATAGCATTTTTCACAAATTTCCGATTTACATTTCACTCACGTGAATCGTAGATTAATAAAAAAAACTCGTGATCACAGACAGGTGCGACAACAACGAACGTAAAGAAATACAGACTCCGAGGCTGATTGAGGTAAGGCTGTAGGGAACTGCGTCTTCCTGGTAAGTATCAAGAAGGGCGACACCCTGGGCTGTGGAAGGGTTTTCGGCAACCTTATGAGTAGTATGTTAGACTGAAGCATTGAAAGTTCAGCTGTGAAATAGATGGTGTGATTTGATGAGCAAAAGCAAGGAGAGGACCAATAGAAGCTAGTTCCGACAAATATCTTTTATGGCTGCAGTGACGAAGTGAAGCAACTAGCTCCGCCATTCGGGGATAAGGAAGTGTCTCCAAATGATCGGTCAACGAAGGGGTGTTGGTTTTAATAATTAGCCTAAACCGATCTCATAAAACTTCCAGACACCCGCCTACACATTTACGAGGGAGTCAAAGCAGATGATGATAGTAGGGGCTCTCCGCTGTCCAAGAGAATTCCTCTTTAACATCTCAAATTTGGCCATATTTTTTCCGCTTGTGTTAGCTCCCTATGGCCTCATTTGTTCGCCGTTTGTTTTTTAATAACTTGTTAAACTCTTGATTGAAATGAAGGTGGATAGCAACAACAACATGATTTTGGAAAGGATATATCTTCGGAGAACTCCAGCATGGCTGTTCTCGCTCTCCACTGAAATCCTTTTCAAACTGAGTGAGAACGCATTATATCCTAATTGGGGCTTATTCCAGAGGTGTGGCGATTTTTAAAACCGGCCGATGCGTCAGTCGATTAACATTCGTCCACTGATGCCATGTTATAATGCATGTCCTCAGTTATTCTGGTGCTGAACATTGGTGGTATATGCAGGCTAGGGGAAAGCACACAAGTGTAAAAATTACCGCCACATTATTGATAACGACTCAGTAATAATTCACACTGCTATTGTGTGTGAATGTGTCCTTGATTTGGACGTCTTCGGTGCCACCCTTTGTATGTACCTATTAATAGAGGATCAGTAATTTTTTGTGCCTTCACTGATTGATCTAATCGACCGGCCCACTTGGGAGTAAGTAGCTGACTAACCTCAATCACCCAACTATGGCTGTAGGATCTGTCACTGTTCGATCACGCAGCGAGCAAACGAGATATGCGGACTGTGACAATATTCTATCCTCAGCTATGTTGCTTGATCTAGACTCCTAGCACGGAGAATAGTAAGAAGACAAAATCCTCGGACGAAACTTTAATGATCCAAACAAACACGCGATTAACAGGCGAATCAACAGAAAAATGACAATGCATGTATATTCATAGTTTGACCTTGAAAAATGCCGGAAGTTCGTTAGCACACACAGAGATACAGAGTTTTTGGGGATATTGATACCCCCAACAGGATCTCGATCTTTTAATATTTGCTACTGGTTTAGGTGGTTGAAGTGCTTACCAATTCTCTCACTTCGACTATCTCATGAATTGTTCAACTTGGACTTGGTTGACGTTTTTTGAAAGCTGTGTAGTATAGGTCCTTTGTTTGTGATCACCCGTTTTGAATACATCCTTTCCTGACGTCACTGATGAGCTTGCACGAGTGGTTTTTATTCTGCAACATCCCCCCCGCCGTCGCTATCGATACCCGTCACCTTAACACAGGGCACATGATTTAATACATTTTCACTCAACTTTACATCCTGGAAATGGGGTCAAGTCATGCTAAAAAGCCGACAACCACTGTAGGACCGCTTGATCCTTAATAGGAATCCTCAGCAGTGCCAATCCCAGGAATTACTAGATGGATTCGAACCCTTAACTTCCGGTTAGTAGTTGAACGCTGTCACCAGAACACAAGTGAGTGATCAGCAATTCATTAAGTCGTGCTTCTCTAGAGGGGGGAAAATCTCCAATAAACAAACCGTTACTCGAAAAGCCGAACAGCCCGAAACCACGTGATATGAGTCAAACGTGTGTGGTGTTCTATCGTGGTGCTGGTAAAAAGTCATTTTTGACCGTATAGTAGTGCTCAACTACTATCTACAGCTAACGGTTCGGGCTTCTCTCAATTCTTGAGATGTGCAATACTGATGATTCTCAACAAGTAAGAAAGAGCCATACGGTTTTTTCCCTGTTTATCAAAACTCACTTAATACATTTCGGGAGAGGGTCCTTTGACTAAAACTTCATCCACATCCTACTACAATCAAACTATTGGTACATTTTACCAGAGCAGCAGTAAGGCTAGGACGCCACTGGCGAATCCTTTTGGTGCCTAGCTACCATGCACCTGAAGGAATCACGAGGAATGAGTTACTGTCAGGTTCTCGAGGCGTAAATGGGGGCAGTTGAAATGCAGAGGTTCGGTTGCAAGCACATACCTTCCGGTCAGTAAATTCGAGCCTTAACCACTGGGCTTTCTCGAGCTCGAGATGGCTTGACCTTCGGTCTCGGCCAGAGGCTGTATTTGATCGCTGATGCAAGACAACATTTCCTGGC